ATTTCGAACGGAACGATTAATGTATTGGTTTTACAACTGTCATGTGTGTTTTATTTATTTATTTTTGGGTCTGTCATCATACAATAAACATATACAAAAAAATGCTTCAAGTATCAATATCGAGGTTAACGCCTGGTAGCAAGGCCAAAAATTGGATCAATTTGGAACATTTCGGTAATGACGGGAAGGGGGAGGGGGTCTATCGAAAAAATTCCCAAGACTTTTCAGAGTTAATAACAGTTACCTAGTTATATGTATCATAATATATAATGATATATATGTGATTTGTTTGTGGCAAAAAATTGGTTTAACCTGCTTACTGCTCATTGCATATTACTTAATTCGTTGGTAATATAAATATATTATAAATTACCTACCCTTAAGAATAGTGGCTGAAACGCCTCCTCTCAAAATATTATTTCTTATACAAGGATGTATTATTTCTAATTTCATTACAGTGACATTCTAAACGTACACACGGCATCAACTACATTGCAGAGCTGAGTTCCCCGTTTTTCTAATTGTATTAATTCAACGTATTATACATAAATATCGTGTATATTTTGAGTTTAAAGGCTTAACGTTAAATAAAATTTCGTCCATAAACTTGTTGCGTTTGGTAGCAGCCCATTATATTTTATTTTTTGACAGCATAATTATAATACGTTTAAATGTCCAATGGCGTTAGTTGGTGGGTAGAGGGGTGACGGTGGAAGTGATCAAACGAAAATGATTAAGTACTTGCGAGATTTTTTTTCATTGTCAAACGCATCATTATATTATTCTCTTGTAATAAACTCGAAGAGTATAGCATTGTAGGGATTATAATACCTACACGTGAGCTACGTTGATCACCGTGGATTACAAATTTAAAATATTGTCAAAAAAAATCACTAATTCTAATAGGTAAGCAATCGATTTATTTATTTTCCGGTACCTTCATTAATTTTGTATCTTAATTTCAGAAATTTCGTAGCAGTAAGCTTGAGAGACGTATTTCAAGTGACATGGACTACAAATGTTATGATTAAAACTGTATAGTTGTGCAACAATAAGTTATAGATGTATAAATAATCGTTAGAAAAAACTCAATACATATAAAGTAAAAAAAAAATAACATTACAACCTTTAACTTTTACAGATTTTTATAATATATTACGTACATTAAAATATAGTGCATTAGTGCGTATTAGAGTTTTATTTGAATATTGATTATATTATTCACATCAAAAATACCTGACATTATTCACGTGTGGGTAATAATATAGGGCAACTTTATATTAAAGGTGTAGGTGCGTAATACTATTTTGCATTTAACGCCATTATTATCTGGTCTTAAAAAACGATTGAAGCCAATTTATTTTTACTGTGTTTTAAGTCATTTTAGAAAATAAGTAATTAATTTTCTTAGTAATTGATCAATTTTTATTTTAGGCATACAGTTAATTTGTATTTTTTTAAATTATGTTATATGAAATATTTAAATACTAAATTATTGTTTAAATCTTGTGTAGTCATACATTTATGTTTTATTTGGGAAAAATAGCAAAAATAAATCAGATAATTAAAATGTTTAAGTGAATTTAAAGCTTAACTATCATATAGTTTTTGAAGTAATAGTATGTAACATTTAAAAAATGATGGTGCTTTAAAAATATAAATTGGAGTGCTTTGTTGTGTGAGTTTTTATGCCATGTCAGAGTTGGGTCTATCAATTTATACAAGAAAGTCTAATTTTTGGAAAAAAAATTATTGCCATCGATATTCCTACGAAATTTGTAAGTGTTATTTTCATACTTGTAGTGTTTGAAAATATACTTTAATCGAGCAAATGTTATTTTTCACTAGAATATATTGATGAGGCAGAATTTAATCGATTTTGTCATAAGTTTGACTACATCTAAGGTGAACTTTTGTTTTGTTGATTTTTTTACTAACAGTATACCTACATGGGTAAAATACTATTTAAAAATAAAACTCGAATACATTATGATAATATTATTCCCCAAGTACTTCGAGTATTTCCATATACCATATATGGATTAATTAAATAGTATAAAAAGTAGTATTTTGTTCCTTTTTAATTAGATAAATTACATATAGGAAATCATACTCGGTACAACTTTAGTTTTTAATATATTTATAAAAGTCAGCATTTTTAACATTATAATATACATTTTAGCATAATAATTGTTATTTTAGTGTAAGTATCACATTTCCTAAAATGTATTGTTTATAAACAACATAATACATAACATATAATTAAAATTGTGAGGTCTAAATCTCTAAATCTTCATAGATAATATTAAAGTTATTATCAACATCAAAAAGAATTCGATATCAGCTGTGTTTTTTACTAAAACAGATCTATTTTATATGAATATTTGTACCATAACTACTCTAATAATAGTAAAAAACTTAAGAAAATCGATTTGAGTTCGTCACAAAATTATTGAATAGGTATATGGAAATGATTTTTTCCCTTTTTTAAAATTATACTTTAAAACCTTTAGAAATCATATTTTTATATTTTAGATATTAGGAATTTTTAATTTCAATAATATTGTATTAACACAGTTGTTAATTTAAACACGAAAAAAGTCGATTTATAGTGAACTTTCTGACGAATTAAAATAATAAGGTTTTTAGAAATTGTTTGAGTTTTTAGTTTCATAACTAGGTTGGTGAATAGAATTGGCAAAATATTGATACTTTTAGGAGGAAAAAAACAAAATAATTTATATTCATGTATACCGTTATCGACATGTGCGTGTGCGTGCACGTGCTCCAATATTACAGGCATACACACTAATGATCACTTTCTACCTACACATTAACACGACACTCACGAACACATTTAGAATATTGCCTATATTGAACTCCTTGAAAACGGCCGGAATCCACTTAATTAAAAATTCTGATACTGTTAATAGTATTAAATTATTTTTAATTGTTATGAATATACATAAAACATATAAGAAAAAAATTCATTTTTTTTTGCATTTACATCAAGGTTAAATTGAAAATAAAAATCATAATGAATAAATTACCTAAAGTAATAACATTTTATTGTAAATTAATCAATGGACATTATTTAAATTAAACCTACTTATATTTTCATTACATATAACTAATTACTTATTATAATTATCAAAACCTATAGTTTAAAATAGTATAATCAAAATACCAATAATTACTTTTTAGTATGTATTTATTTAAAGGGTTATTTAATGCTTTGAATATTTTTTGAGAATACAGTTTTACCAAATGTAAATATATAGTATCTAAAAGTTTCCTGAATACTGTCCTCGAAATACTTGCCAAGTATGAGTATATGACTATTATTGACGGTGGGAGTTCCAGATGATTATGGTGCAGATATTTTTGTTTGGGGTTGCATATTGAATATTTTATTATTTATTTACTTATTACAATTTCATTTTACATTTAATGCATTAGGTTCAATTTAAATGCGCATCATGTATTAAAAGTTCTTCATATATTTTTTAATACTTCTATAGTTCAACATATAATATTATAATGTGTAACACATTGAAATATATGTACTTTGTTTAATACCGTAGATTAAAATATAATATGTGACTACAATTATGTTCATTTTTTAAAATAGGGCATGTGAACTTTTTATGCTAAACGTCTTGAGTTAGTGTGTTTTTTTAGTGCAACTATTATTTATTTTGTGATTTGAGAGCTTACGGGTTTGATATGTTTCTTAGACAACAATAATGCTCAGAAAGATATGTTTGAGGTCGTTGGGTTGGAGCCACTCAGAATAAATGATTTTTTTTTTATTAACTTAATATGCAATACTAATACAACAAAAATATGAGATAATCACTTTACCAACTAAGATGATAAGACTCGTATAGGTTGTAACTTCTATCGGACGATTAAAAACCTAGGCACAATAAGACTAGGTACACAAGTGTTACCCGGTTGGGATTCAAACACAAACTGGTGCTAACAATTATTTTTTATAAAAATCATAATTTTTCATGGCAGACGATCGGATTACTTGTGTATGGGATATTTTTGAGTTGATGAGTTAATTACAAACTTTTAACTGATTTATGTATACAATGTAACGTATACATTTCAAAGTGTACATTTCACTTCACACGGAGACTAATAGCGTAGGTTATTTTTGCTACATTTGTTTTTGACGTCTTCAGTAATATTATATAATGCAGTGAACGAAAACCTATAGTTTTAATTAGTAATTTATATTGTTATGGTCACGCTTTTTCGCGGTATATCGAAATATAATATCAGAAGGTCTATTGAAAATTAGTTGCCTATTGTTAAAAAATAATTATTTTTCTAATCGAACTTGATAATATCAATTAGAAAATTGTATTTTGTTTATATTATCTAATTTTGACACCTGTCACCTGTCTAAACGATTGTTTACATTAATATATTATTGTTAAAATAGTCAAATTAAATTCGATTCAAACGAGGAAAAAAATTATTTTTATCCGTCTTAAGATTATTATTTTAAATCGTCGGGATACAATTTTTTGAAATGTTTGACATTGATGTCGATTAATAGTGCCCCAAATTATTTTCAAAAACTATTATTCATTAATATTATGTTTAAAAAATTTAAATCGAACAACTATTTCATTAGTACTCTTAAGTTCATACTTGTCAATGATGTACATATACAATTATTCTACAAGAAAAATACTATTTTAAAATTCAGGTATACTACTTAAAATGATTTTTTGAAATTCTTATTGACAAAAAAACACATTTGTCTGATGTTTATTAATATTTCAATTATTTACCTTTTATATTAAGACAATTGTATGTATAAATTGTTTTTTTGTCTTTCCACTTATTATCTTGTTGTAATTTTATATTGCTTTGCTCTATACCCCCAGCGCTTAATGTTTTGTAAATTTAAATAAATAAATAAACAATTCATAAAAAACAATATTATTAAAAAAAAGGTACATTAACAAAATATGTCTAACCATTTGAGGCTAAAAAACAAATCACATGCGGACATCAAAGTGATGATGACGAATAAAAGCTTTTTGGCATATTTTAGAAAACGCTGTTTAACATGCACGTACGGAATACATCTAGCAAAAGTCACACAAAATATAGTTTAAGTTAAATAATGATTATATGAATGTTCAACAACCTTGCCCATATGGGTGCGCGGAGACGTTTTTGTCGGATAACTGGCGAAGTAGTCACGGCCGCCGATGAAGTTGACGGTTCTGGTAACTTCGAAATTTCCTCCAGTTCCTCTTGACTATTTTTCATATCGCAACTACTGATTGTTACGATAATAAACAAAAACAACAAACACAAAAAAATAGTACACAAATGATAATATTATAATTATATTTTATTCAGAACTATACAGGGTGATTTTTTAAGCATGCTCACCTCCAATTTTCGCTCAAATAGTACATTTATTTAAATTTTGATTTTAGGTATTTTAAGTAGACCCTAGTCAATATATTCAAATTCTTGATTATTTTTTTGCCACTTAAGGAGTATCCTGTGGATACACAAACTTCTATTATTCAAATGAAAATCACCTTTTTTTACTGAATTTTTTGAAAATGTTTATGTATCTAAATAAAAATTCAAATGAGTAGTTTCTGAGCTATTAAAATGTTCATATTAATGATAATAATGCTTAAAATGGTTTTATAAAAATAAAAACTACATGTAATGTTAGATGTAGTATTTATTATACATGGATAATTTTTACAAATTAATTATATTGATAAATCAATAGTAATTGCCAACTCTTTAAAATCGTCTAAATTCCCTTTCTACTTAACCTATTACCATAGGCGTATTATTCTTAAGACACAAAGTTACATTCTCAAAAACTACTAGCTTGAATTTTGATTTAGACGCATAAAATTCTAAAAAAAAATATCTGCTTAATAATTAAAAATGAAAAGGGGAGGCTCCTATTTGAGAAATTGAAATTTCCATTATCACAGAATCATCCTTAGGTGGTACAAAAAATCTCAGTGATTCAAAAAATGGTGTTCAAGTGTATTAAAAAATTCTTAAAATCTTAATTTAAAAAAAGCATATTTTAAGCATAAAAATAAGATGAGCATGCTTAAAAATTCACCCTCTATACTATTCAGATTGTATAATTTCGCAAGAGCGATTTCAATTTATTAGGATTAGTAAAAAAAAAATCTTTTTCGAGTACAATGTAGAAATTAATTGCTAAACGTCAGGTATAATTTTCTTATTTTACATATTTTAAAAAAGTAATGATTTTAGTTTTGTAAACTTTTAATTACAACAAGATATATATTATATATAGGTACCTACGTTTCCTTTTTACCTTGTTTGTATATTTTGTTTTTCTTGATTACTTTTTATTTTATTTGTATTTTTATTGTATTATATTTTTTACAATACAACCATTAAATCATCCTGAATTCTATGTAATTTGTTTTCATAATAAATTTTTAGTATTGAACACAAACAAAAGGGTCAAGTGATAATATTTAATGATTAACTTAATAATTCAAATAACCATTTATATATCTTGTAAAGATTGTGAATTGTCTAACTCCAAGATATTAAGAATCGAATCTTCTTTAAGATAGTTGTTGTACTATATTTGTAGAAAAAATATTTTCTGTTTACTATTGTTAGCACCAGTATATATTTTTTCTTATTCTTTATTTTTATTGATTTGGAGATAATTGGTTGATTATTAATCGATTTATCGATAATCTTATTGATTTTTAATTTCTAAAAAATAAAGAAAATTAAGAGTACAATTTTTATGTTGTTCGATCAGATTCGATTTTGAAAACAAAACTGTCTTAAAATGATCAGTATTAACTAAACGATGGTGATATTTATTGATAATATAATATAAAATTTATGTTGTGTATTTTGGTATTGCACCATACAGAAGTGTTATGAGATGTTAAAAATCATACTTAAGAGGATGTCTGCGCATTTTTTTTCTTTCTCTAACAGTCCAACCCACGAGCAACATAGCAAATTTTACGTTTACAAGAATGAATGTAATCATAAAAATTTTTGAAATTAGGATGGAAAGACCTCTTATAAAATTTAAACGTAAGAGCGTCTTATAGACTTTTTACCATGTTTTAATTTTAAAGTCAGTTATGAGAATAACTGTAAATGATTTGTACAACTTAAAATAATCATAACTCGATCTAAAATTGAAATGCAATTGATAGCCTATTAATTTTAAAAATTATTATGATTATAATCATTATTGTGAAACGAAAATTGTCTATGTTGAGCGTGGGTGGATCAGAGAGAGAGAGAGAGAAAGAGAAATAGAAAAAGGCACTGACGTCCTCTTAATACATCGGCCAGGTAATCGGATATTCTATGGTATATTTTTGCTGAGAGGAAAAGTAATTAAGTCATAGGATTGTTGAAGATTTAAAAAACTACCAACATTTGAAAACATGATATTTTAGAATGTTCATAGATCTTAGAAATTCACCATCGGATTCTGTCGAGTATACCGAAATGTAATAACATCGATACCGAAAAAATGCACCAGTTAACATAATTTACACGTACCCTATGGATTTCCACCTAACCTGGTTTTCTTGTCTAGCCACAAACGACGTGGACTACTTACGTGTTAGGCTTAGTAATGTGCTAAGTCTAATAGTCAATACCGAACTGTTGTTTGGTATTGACTATAATAATGTGTGATAATATCTCTAATAGGAATCTCAGATTCGTTAGAAAATGAACGATTTGTGTAATAAAACACTTCTATAATAATCGTTCAATAGAAATAAACGATTTATGAACTATAAAGTAATTAATAGTTTAATATTTAGTGATTTTGTACGATATCGTAATAAACCTTCCCTGAGTTCGACAAAATGAATTTTAAAACTGTTATTTGGCAGCCATTTGTGGCGTTATGCGATATAGAGGTATCGAATACGATTCAATTTTTATCAAATTTTTGACAGTGACAAACAGTAGGTAAATATAAATCCGGTTATAAAAGTATTACGCTGTCATACATAACGGAGTAGAGAGACGAAACAGAGAACAATGATAGTCGTAGACTTACATAACGAGTGGAAATTTTGGAATTTTTGTCAGGTTATTTGGGAACGGTAACATTATTCTACTAAGATTTTGGTGGTCATGAAAAACAAATGTATGCAAATTACTACAATAATAAAAATATAGTTGATTAGACTATATAAGAGTTGTATAAATGGAAAAATTGCCTACAATAGTAAATGGGATTTATTGTAATTATTAAAATAACCTTTATAACGTATAGCTTTTACAAATGATTTATACATAAAGATTTTGTGGTTTGTTACTTAAACATTTAAATCAAGTCGACACGGTCTTAAAAAAAATATTTTTTTACACATTAAAATAAAACTTATCATTAGATTAATTTAAGTAATAAAAAGATTAAACTTCAATATAATTTTACTTCAAAATATTATGTTTGTAAATTATTAGAATAATTTATTGCATCTTGTGTAGACACATTATAATAAAACATTAATGTTGTTACATTGGACAACAAATTACAATTATTGTTCATATGATGTTAAGCATTGAGTATTGATTGGAAACTTATCTAAAAATTGTTTTTGTTTTGATATAACAGGGTTTATTCTAGTCTAAATATCTTATACTTATTTTATTTTATTTGTTGAAAACTTATGGAATACTATATCGTCAATATCATAGAATAAAAATAATAAAAAATATTTGTATAAATCTTATTTATAAACGTTTTCAATGAATACTGATCAATGTATAATTTAAATCAATATACAAAAATATAAAAATAAAAAATTGTGTAAACTATTTTTAAGTTCTAATGATTAAAATTAGGGTATTTTTAAATTTTTTAAATAAAAACCAAATGTATAAAAAATCAAATATAACAAACCGAATACAATATTTTCGTTAATACTATTTTGAAGTAAATATTGTCTTACCTTTATTTTTAAATGGCAATTATAATTTATGATGGTTGGTTAATTAAATATTCTAAGTAATTCCTTTGAATATTCCTAGGTCGATTATAATTTAAGTGATATGAATTGTGTACAAAAAGACGTTTAGACTTGATACTCAGTTGTGGTGCGAATAAAAAAACAGAGAAGACATTTAGATTAAGCATTCAAGTATTTCATGCGAAGGTTCTTACTTTTTTCTCCTAATCCGTAGATAATAATTACCCAACATTTATAAACTTTTTATAAAAATAGCTGTGAATTATTTTTCATAATATAAGTTAAATGAAATGTACTTTGCTGAAAAATGAGGTTTTTTTTCGTCAGAGAGTTTAAAGTAGATTATAGCAATGTATGGTTGAATAGCAACAAAGTTATGTTTCATATGTGATGGATTTATTATAGGTACTCGTGAATTTTAGAGAATTTAACGCAACGATAATAAATAATAATTGCGTTCAGTGTGATTTGAGTGAAAAAAAAGAGGTTTCCAAAGAGGTTATCTTAAATCTATGGCCCTCTGGTATATTTATTCAAATGTTTGAAATGAGAGATTCGTGTCAATGAAAATAACATTTTAGTTTTGATGTGAAAATATTATTCTGCTGTCGTTTAACAATCGCAAAAATTATGTTATGAAATGTCGTTTAACAATATTCTATTAACGAACGTCGTTGTACATTTTTTTCAAGATGAAACGGCGCACTGGGTATGCAATATTGCTACATGTGTGTCAAGAGTATGGAATATTGGTATAATATTATTGTTTAGCGGATAGACGAATACCTATAAACGTACATTTTCGTTAAAGCTGGGCAGTGACTAGTTATTAAGTTAGTTATAAGTTGCTATTTCCAATACATTTTAACTTAAATAGTAAAAAATGTATAATGCTTAGAAATAACTAAGCTAGTGAATTATTTAATTACTTCTGTTTATAAATAGTTTTAACTGGACTAGTAATTTTGCAATAATTAATGTTAATTCTGAAAATTATTTAAGTATATATTCAAAAAATTATAAGTTTACTAAGTCTGTAGAAATTACAATTACAACGTCAAATTGTTCATGTAGAGCAATTTTTAGTGCTAGAGGTCTTCTGATAAGGAAAAGAAGAGTCATTATGACTGATCACAAATTTTAAAAAACATTTTTATTATTTTTATAATTGCATAAATGATCTTTGTAATATTTATCAGCTGATTATTTATTAGATTTATTTTTTATTTTTGCATAATATAGATGGTTAAAAAATGGTCAGTGTCTGCTCACTGCTAATTATTCAGTGCTATATAAAAAAATCAATCGTTGTCCAGTTAGTTCTAAATACGAAGTGAGTAATTTAAAAAAAAGTTACTTTTAGCTTTTAACTAACCTCAGTTAATATTTTGCCAGAAGACTTATAATATGACTTACTAACTCAAATTCATTAATATTTTAAAATAACTCAAACTTGAATTAATTAAACTTTATTAACTTATATAAAATAAATGTAATTTACTTTTATTAGAAAGAATTAAACTATTTAAAAAAAAAAAAAAAACGGTTAGTTTGTGCCCAATTTTGAGTTTTATGTAAGTATTAAAGATAAACTATGTTTCAACTACAAGGTTCATAGCACTGGATTTGCATATCTTATTATAAACGATAGAAAAAAGTCAATCGTATATCATATTGAAAATTGAAATTGCTCCCGACAATCTGTATATTAGAGTTACTGAACTAAGTGCAAACGGAACATGCGAAAAGAACAAATTACAGCAACAAAAGTGGCATTCTCGTGAACAGGAATCTGTTTACTTATCAAAACCACATTTTTAAAGGGTTTTCCATGTGAATATTCGTTAGTAGATAAAATGGTATTTTTGTATATCAAATAATAATTATTATTTGTTGATTTGGAGGAGCCGATGTGCAGTTATTAAAACACATTGGTTCTATTATTCGGTGTAAATAATATATTATTTGAATAATAGACACACTATTTAACCGAGTTAAATGTAGATAAAATTGTAAAGGTACTACCTACATCAATTATTGTTTTAAAAAGCAACGTATTTAAATCATGTTTATCTGGAAATAATACGAACTAAGAAACTGATAGATAAAAATATAAAAATATAATAATATGATCAATTTAATAAATAAACATTTTATTACTTTCCAAACGGAGACTTAGGTATGTTAAATATGTTCGTATACACACAATAAGTGCGTATTTTACCTACTATATAAATATTGTTGGTTGTGGTAAAAGTATACCGTTTAATGTTCTTGAAATATTGTTTTATATCTTTTTCTAAATATAGTATTTTGAATTAATATTTTTGCCTAGGTACGTGTTATACGGTTGTTAAACTGCTCAAAAATAGTGTGAGGCTCAACAAATGTTTAAGGTAAATAGGCGTATTATTACTTTTTAGTATTTCACCATGCACAAGAACTGTTTTAGTCCATGATGGATTTTATGAGGTATATTATTGGATCATAAAATTATTTGATTTGTTTAATGTGGTTTTGATACGTAGCAATGGTTAAATGTCATAAACGACGTGCATAAAATATTAATACGGTACGTCGTATAACTGTCTAACCGTCAGCAGCTTGTTGAACACAAAAAAGAAACAAATAAAACCGAAAATATAAAAATAAAATAATAGCGTATGTGATTATTAAATGAAATGTTATTAAATTTTATAACAAAAAATGATCTGATAATCGATGATGGTGCATAAGTTTTACTGAGCTTACCGTCGATACGATTATCATTTGTTCGTGTTCTCGTGGGTACACAAACATGCACATGCAGTTTAAAATAATATAATTGAATTTGACTGACATGCTATTAATTATATGATATTATAATAAACTCTTACTTTTGCTCTTCGTCCAAAAATGCAGATTCTAGTACTTTAGCAGCAAAAAATAGATTTTTGTGTAAGACTTCGGCCGATATCTCTCCTTTTCTCAAGTGGCGCAACAGACAACGCAATCTGAAATTTAAACACAATTATATTTAAAATCAATGCAAACAAAACTATAGTCACACAATTAATGCATTGCTACTTTTATTTTAAAAAAGTATTAAAAACTCTTTTAATTTATATTTTGTTTTAAGGCATTTTATGTTTCTGAGTTAAAACATGTTTAGCTCTGTTAAATCATTATTTCTATAGGTAGGTAATATCGCACAATATTTTATAAAATATTAAAATACAAGTTTTATAATTAGGTGTCCATGAATAACTGAACATTATTACAGAAAGTCGAGGAATATGAATTTTGATGGCTAAAAAACTTGTATAGGTTTATTATTATTTTAGCAGCAATGCAGCATGTCCAAAAATATCAACACTCTTTGCGGTATTTTGGTTGGAGTTAAAAGATAGACAAAGGTAGATTTTGCCCATGAACCCTAGACAGTCCCTAGCCAATGGCGATTTTATAGTTTGAAGTGGTTTTTGTGCAGTCTTGGGTTAGATTAGGGAATGAAAAGGTCTTTTTCTTGTTTACCTTCAGTAAGAACTCACGTTAATGGATGCTAGTGATGGATAGAAAGCGTTATAGATTTTTTTTTACAACAAAAAGTAACAAATTATAATCATTGTGAATACTATTGATAAAATATTTTGTTTCATTCCATACGCACGTGCAATACGTAAAGTAATCAAATATAATATCAAAGTTCAGAAAAAATTGAAATAAAAACAATACCTAACAATATCTTTAAAACTGCAGATACGTCAAGGGCGAGTCAAGTATGTATGATATTATTTTATAGAATAACAGAACACTTAAATATTGGACCACTTGAATGACGCTTAACAAATCAAGTCAGATAATATAGTTTAAACAAAATTTCGTTCTTTAAAGTACGCCTAAGAGCAAGAAAACCATAGTCTTCATGTTGTCAGTAAATAATTTTGACAATATCAAACATAACTTCTAAAGTATACAAGTAATAACAATTGATTTATTTTTCAGTGTAGTAAGAAGTTAAATAAATACAATCGTTTGCAGTTGAATGCTTTGAATAAAAACAATATTTTCGAATCATCATGAACACTACACCGTAATTAAAAAAATAATAATCAGCAATCGGATTCATCGATTACCGTTAGAATTAATTGAAGCATCGTATTTATAGTTAACGGCCCTTATACCGAAATGTATACGAAGTAATTATTTTAAAAATGAACACTGATTTAAAAAAGAACAAAGTATTAATGTCTTTGGGAATATTTTGTTTTACATCATTTTTAGTCATTACAATTGGAAAACAGTTTCATTTATAATTAGTTTTTTCTCGATAAAATGTTTTAAGTTTATAACGTTTTTAAAGTATTTTATTAAAAATTTTGCCAGAATTTATTGTTCAGTATAAATTGTGTAAAAAAAAAATGTAAAAATGTTCAAAATATTTGAAGAAATAAAAGGTTTACCTATTATACTAGATTAACTTTGCTAATTTTATCATACTCTAGCTGTATATTAAATATTTTATATTATGAATAATAATACTACACGGTCTATAATGTATCGCCCTGCATGTATTATAGCTATGGCAATATAAGCTGCAATTGTATTTTAATTTATTGTATACTTATTTATAATACTTAGTTGTATTCAAACAATATATGTAGCTACTAATTACATGTTTTCATAAAGTTTTTTTAATTTTTTAAAATTATATTGCTCTTCAATTTTGTATTCAATATTCAAACACTGCACATACTTTTACTGAACACTACAATATGAAACACTACTGCACTGCACAATTTTTACTAATAACTCATAATATGTCATGTATGCTTGTTTTATTGTAATTTTACAGTAATATCTTAAATTACAATATCTTAAAAGTTAAAACCGATTTACCTGTCATTAAATTTATAAGTACTCAAATTATTTTGATAAGCTTGTAAGCCATAATAATTTCGTAGATTAAATAATCTTTACTCGACGATAATTAAAGAGATAATATTGAGAGTTTAATATAGGTATGTACGTGAGTTCGGAATTTCAACACACAAATAGGAAACTAGTTTTTTATTATATAGCTAGGAATGCTAGTCAAAGTGACTTGTATTAAATTAGCAAAAAATATTGTAAATCTTTATATTTGCCAAATTATTAGATGTACATTTGTTTACAATATGTATGTAATTAATGTTACTTTATCAAAAGTGAACTTTGACAAAATGTAATACCCTGTTCCGCAAAATATTATTTTGTTGAGTTGTCTAAAGTCACCAAACAATTTTGGTCGAATATGATTGAAAACAGAATTTTTTGTAATGATTATTAACACTCAATTTATATCATTTTTTCCAACTTTGGCATATTGAGTATTTTTTTCACTCAACGATTAGGCATGATATTTGGTACTAGCCCTGATAAATAGCGAAAATCAACTTCAAAAAACAAATCAAAAGTCTATGACCTAGATAAGTTGCATGCGTTTTTTGGTCTACATCTTTTAAGTCACGAAGAAGTCAAAGATGCGTTTTAAGATTTAATCTGCGATAGTAGAACAAAGTAAAAAAGGTTTACTGAAAGAAATAAAAATATAAAATAGTATACATTGAAAATAAACAGGTAAGTAGTTAAGAAGTGATACAAAATTCAGTTTATGTATTGTGTTTAAGTATTAATATAATTAAAGTAATAATATATTAGCTAACTCTATCCAGGAATTAAAAATTTATTGATAACTTATTATTATTCATAATTTATTAAAAGGACGTCGTACCCAGTACCCACATAATATGTTATGTCCGTCTTACTAGAGCATAATATACCAAAATGTACGACCAGTAATTCCAATTTTGTACTGTTAACTTAAATATACCTATTATCAAACCTAAATGTAAGAAAATGATCTGTGTTCTTTCGTTGGTCTTTAACAATACTTTAATTTTTTAAGTGAGTTATGAGTGTGTAAAACATTAATATTTAAAAATGATCATAATTCATTTAAAAATTAAAATATCGTAAAAAACCAACGAGAGAATACAGATAATGATTCTTACATTTACGTTTGATAATAGTTCAATCAATTTAAAATTTAAGCTAACAACACACAAATGGAACTAGTGGTCGTACATTTTGATATATTATGCGTTTGTACAACAGTGACAACACATACGACGCCCTCTTAACCCGTTGTTTATGTGGCCACATTTATATTTTATGAGATTATAATTATAATTTACGACTACGACGTTCAACATTTTTATCACTCATTTTATTTATATATAATTATATTATTTTATTTTATCTATTTATTTTAACAGTGACTTATTATTATTTATTTTTTTTTTGTTACACTTAAATGTTCAGTTTAAAAAATCAACGTGCCGTATCGTTCGATAGCCAATTAAATGACGTTGTCCATAAACCAGAAAATTAATTTAGGGGATCAGTATTTTTTTGGAAAACGTTTCTGTAGAATGATTTCTAAAGAATGTTATAATTTTAGAAAGGTATGATATTTACAGGTATCGCAACAACTAGTATAAATCAGTAAAACAAATTTTTGAAACACTATCATTTACGAACAGTAATAATTAGGATAATATTACTTAAAATTTCAAAAATCGTGACAGAAATTAAATAAGAATATTATTTTTCAGGATGGATATTCTGGTACCTATGAGACAATAAAACATAGAACCGTATTTTTCGGTAATATAATATTCCTATATTATTATTATCCATTATTATCAGTCCCGAATTTTTATCCTCGGATACCTCAGTAATAAGGTACTAATTAACACTATTTCTAACTTATATGACTCTTGAAATATATTAAACTCTTTTATAATATGATAGATAATGATATTATCATCCTATTTTATACGATTTCTGTTAATATAATTAGTTCAAGAACTTACTGTTCTTGTGTAGTACCTATCATTCCTAAATTACATTATCATTATGTATAAATAACATTCTTAACGAAAAACAATTCCAAATGTTTTATTATTGTTAAAGGCCATCAATTCACTCAAATTGTTTTAGTATTTTGGGTAAGCGATGAGTTCTTTTTTGTGCATTTTAAGTGTTCTTAATCGTCTGGTTAAAAACTTCTTAGTCGTTCATCGATTTCTATGTACGTACATTGACAATTGAATAAATAATTCTCGGTTGATGATTACCTGAGTGCTGCCTTATCAACAGCTTCTGACGAATCAAACGACGGCATTCCTTCGAGGCTAAGATCTATATCGTCCAACATTGATTCGTTTTCTTTCGACAAGGCCATATTATATTCTTCGGAGTATGTGCTTTTTTTTTGACTGCTGCGGCGGACAATTGTCAAGGCTCCTTGTCCTGCAAATAGATAAATACGAGGGTTTAAGGTATTTTTTTCAATATATAATATTGTGTTATTGAAAAAAAAAACAGGAAATTCGCTTGGCTGTATAGAAGGTTTCTAGTGTACTTCATCATTAAGTCAGTTCCTGTAATGCATGTGTTAAATTTGAATTCAATAAACAAAACGATTCTGAGCGGAGACGGTCTGACAACCTACACCTATACATACTACATAATGCATATGCATATGGATATTTTATCATTTATTTTTCTATTGGTAATAGCCAATAGGCAGTGAGTTGAACTCATTAAAAAAAAAAAAATGATTTATTGTATTATTATAATATATATCACATCATACGTATTATTTTTATTAAATTAATAATTAGTACCGACACAGTTGTATAATATACCTTACAGTATTTACTGTGAATAGGTTCATGGGGTAAATAGCTTAAAATTAGTACACATAATATTTTGAACGACTAATTGCGATATGGGTATTGGAAATGATAATTTAAGTTCTAGTAAAATGTTTCAAATATATTGTGATAACAGAATTATATAATGTTAAATTATGAGTTCATTAATAACTTTTGCATTGTAACAAAACAAACAAAAATTGTTCAAAATTTTTTTTTTCCCCCTTTAAATACGCAATTTTATTAAAATGTTATCTTAAAAAAGCCTAAAAAAAATTCCTATTTAAACTATATATTTTTTAATTGCTGAAGAACCTTTTATAAGGAAATTTGCAATACATTTTCAAGTTGTTGGGCACCTATTACAATTGAACATTTTTATATACTTTTAGTTGCAAAATGTTGCAAAATGTCAGAAAATGTTTGTATGTCGCCCCTGTGAAGCATATTAGAGATAAATTATAAACTTATACAAACAACAATAAATTTAATATTAGAACATATTATTTTATACGGTTGTTTTTTTTAATAAAAATATAGTTTTTACTTGCAACTTTAAATGATTTAAGCAAAAGTCAGTTCTTGTAGTATTTAAGTTGCTATGAAATAGTTATAAGTACGTTTTTTTCTATGGAATGGGAAGTCTTTACAGTAATGTTTACAGTACAATTTTTTTTACAATAGCTACACAACCTACAAACTCGCAACGTCTTAATTTTCTTTACACTTATAGGTTAAAATATTTTCAACTTCAAAAAATTCTATGATTGTTTTATTTTTATTGACTTATTAATATACAAAATATAATTTAATTTCAGTTTTAATAAGTTTTACTAAAAAAATATATTTTCAAATAAACACATGGTTGTACATGATTTTGAGTATTCCACTTTTTTTGAAGTCATTTCTGACTAATTGTGTGTGAAATTTAATTTCGTCACCTAAATCACCCACTAGTTATTTGATTTTTTAAAAATTAAATTTTTTAAATGTTGATTTGGGCACCACCATAAGTATTGAAATAAAAATAAACTAGTAAAATATTTCATATTATTATAAAATCAGTAGCGTCAATCACAAACCTGGTGTGATTTTATAGTTCAGTAAATTAATATTAATTGAGCTATTTCCACAGAAAATATGTTTAAATTAGTTTTTGCAGTGAATTTAATATTTATCGTGTTTTTACAGCTCAGGGTAGACCATGTTCAAATGTAGCGACTATTGCAGCCATGGACAATAAAATACTTTCGTACGAGACCGGTCGATTGGTGTAATGCGGTATTTCGCTATTAATAAAAAAAATATTTTTACACGTCCGCATAGTACCTACGCAACAATAATGCTATCACGACATTATTAACACTATAAAAATTTTTTTTTTATCGTAATATTATTTTAAAACTGTTTTTTTGAGTTTTAATACACTAAGTAATGTGTAGGAAATTTAATGCAGATGCCTAAACAGTATTTTTTCAGTCTTACCCCCTAATTTGATTCCAATATATATATATATATATATATATATATTTAAAAATTATATACACAACATTTCATGGCAATATGTGAAGTTTAATACGTGCCCCTTAGTCCTTAAAATTCGAAAGCACTATTTTATTCAAATAACCACAGTTTTTTAAATATTTTATTGATATCTCGTTTCAACTCTTTCATATAAAAATGCGTTAATTCAAATTACTATAACTCTTGTTGTATATAGTTTTTTGACTAACGCAATATTTGTATATATAATTAATTATGAAACATACAAGTTTATAAAATATAACATAACAATTAAACAATATTATTACAAAACGTAGGTGTTACATATGATATACATTTAATTGTTATTTAAAAATAGCCTAATTCCATTGGATATAATAGATTTGCTATCTGGATATACTTGGTAAGATATCTGCCGAACTTGGTGATGTTTGCTCACGATAAGCTCGTGCAGGTCCAACGACGTCCCCTCCTCTCTTGTCGGCGGGTGACAACCGGCTCTAGTCCGCCGACAAAGTAGAAAAACCATAGCAGTTTTTATCGACCACCGCCTCTTGTGCCGTTAAGCGCGTTTTTCTTTGCTACATATTTCGTTGGGTGGTCCACATTGCGTGTTCGCCACGACGATATGGTGCACGTTTGGACCTGGACTAGTACAACGGTTGTAGTACACTCGCGTCTGGTAGGTACTCAGAGAGTCGAATTCAAACAATATTGTAGAAGCTGACGAAGAGGCGTAAATTGAGATTTATTGTATTTGGAGCCTTGGAGGTCAGTACAACAGCTGTGCGTCGTCGGAGCAGTGAGCGAGACCCGATACTAATGCCTACACCAACCCGGTCACACTATGTACCTGTTTCGATCGCGGTAGCAGCCCGCAGACCTCACACTCATGGATAGAGCATCTACGTGGGAGGCAGGTGGGTGGTGTGGCCAAGTCTTAGCTTGCCAGTAGTGGTGTCATTCCTTGCCACCAAAAACTCAAAGCATTGTTATTAACAATTACCATATAATATTATACAACTTTATAAATTATATTTTATTTTATTTAGTTTTTATTTTAGCAAATGAAAATGAATTATATTCAAATAAGATCACCACAGTTAAAACAGTTTTTGTTGCAGAAAACTAGTAAAACAGTATATGACGAGAATACAATACGATAATAATCTGTTTCTAAACACAACTTGGTTTGTTATTAGCGCATGCTCAGTAGTATGGATATGCAGCGCAGCCACCTTTCATCGCGGAAACTTCCACCGCACTCCGTCTCTGAGTGTGAGGTCTATGTGGCAGCTATATCGCTGTACGTTATCATCTGTTTTGAAGTGTGATATTATTATTTCATATTTATTGTTATTATTGTTCGGCACATTATTGACCATCATTGTATTTGTACCATACTGGGCGACCGTCATATTTTGTTGTTGTTGTATCTTGCAGCATGGTGTTTTATACAGTGTTGCACTTAACACATTTACTGTCGCATGCAACTGCATTACATTATAAATTGAGAGTGTCAAGACTTAAGATATTTGAACAAATAATCTACTTCTAAGTAATTTTTTTTGTTGACATTGATATTTTAATTTTAAGCAAGGTATCTAAAATAAAATCAACGTTGAAAAATAGGTTAGTTTTTTTTTCCTCTAAGTTAGAGTAAATGTCAATTCACTCATATATTAGTATGTTACAGCAAACGCAACATTTAAACTGTTGTACGATAGTCAGCTATGCTGTTAACGTTTGTAAGACGGAGACAATACAGTATAAAATAATATTATTAATTAAATGTTAAATAATTACTGAAATGTATGCATTTACCATATTTTACATTCTCATATTCAGTGTTGGCTTTAATGAAATATTAAGTGGTAAGGAGAAGTAGGGGTCTGGAGGTGAATTTGATGATTTCGAGGAAACAATTCTACTAGGAGCTGTGATATACATATACCAATCTTCGAATTATGTTTAGATTTAGTAAGATGTATTAACTGTAAAATATAACTTATGAAATTTTATTTTTATCGATTCAACAACCTGGGTTTTCAAGATCGATTAGGTTAGGTAGTGGAAGTAGATAATCAACTACTTCTTAACTGGATAGAATTAGGTATAAATATCGACAGCCACATGGTTCAAATATACGAGACTGGCTTGTTGCAAGTCCATAGTTAAGTACTAACCGTCAACTGTGTCAAGTGAAACATAAAAAAACATCTTATTTCCATTTGTACAGGCAATTATAAGTATAATAATATTTAATATGTCTATTTTAGTTGTTTTAAATTTTTTAATAAAAGTATTATTACAAAAATGAGTGTGAATTATGAATGTTTTAACAATTTTAGTCTTTCGTCTTTGATAAAACATATTGAATTGGGCGAAGCACTCTGATAAACATTTGTATATAATATTATTTAATCCCCCCCCCCTAATAAGACAATTGAATGTACACAACTGGATATGGGTATGGATAGGTACTCAATTAGTGTGCACCCCAATATCACTAGTTATACCTGTCATTTTCAGTGTAATATCATTCCTATTATACAACCTTGTATTGTCTTTCATATTTTATATCAAAATGATTACGTTATAATTAAATATTGTATTGTAAATTGTAATTATTATATTTATTGGTTGAAACTGTAATCGGTTTAATACTTTGGCAATAATGAATTTTGAAATGTTGAGTTAAATAGTTTTCTTTGATGTAAGACTTCACATGATATTTAAACGAATTTAATCGACTACCATCCCTGAAACTAATATTGCTACCGCATACCAAAAAGCGATGAAATTTGCATCCTTTACATACATTTTGTAAAATTAAAATTTGATTTCCTTGTTAACCGAAGCAAAGCATTTCAAACTTTCAAAGTAGATACCTAGCTAGTAGCTATACAATAATTTGCCTATAATGACTAACGATATCGGTATAGATATATGATATATATCGGTTAAAAATCGTACTACACAATATGTAAGTCTTCACTTTTAGTACCACTCAAATTCGTATTAAATGGTTAATAGTTCCAATAAAAATCATTTTTTTTTTAGATTCGTACGCTTTCAATGATTATTTGA